TTAAAGAATAAAAAAAATTTAAAGAATAAAAAAAAAATTTAAGAAATAAAAAAATTTAAGAAATAAAAAAAATTACATGTAAAAAAAAAAATAATTTAAAAATTAAAAAATCAAAAAAATCTAAAAAGATCTTTAAAATATAAATTAAACTTAAATCAAAAACCTGAATTAATTAGCTTTTCTTTCCATTTTTCCAAAGAGATCAATTCATTACTATCAAAATAAATAAGTTTTTTCATTACATTATACATGATGTTATATATATCATCTTGTGTTATAAAAGCATCCTGTAATATTTGAATATCTTGAAACTGGCCTTGAACATCATTTTTTATCTGATCCTTAAGTTCGATTGCTTTAAATCATAGAAGTTTTTGTATGCTAAAAGCATCAAGACCTTCAAGAACATGTTTCTGAATAAAATCCTGAATATTTGCAGAAAGTAAGAGTGTACATAAATCTAATAAGTAGCTGGGATAATAGTTTGTATATTTATAGTAATATCGCAAGACCACAGTAGAAGAATTAATAGGAAGGGTAATGTGAATGAAACTCTTTCAACTACATTTTTTGGATTCTTTTTGCGCAATTCAAGATTTTTTGTTTAGATTCTCTTTTGCAATACTTTCATATATTCCATAATGGTGGCAAAACCATCACTCTGTTCATTGATTTTTTTTTTTACACCTGTACTACTTGCTTCAATGATCATGCTGGATGTAACTTAAACCTGCCTTTTTCAGACTTTTGATCCATCGCTTTCTGGAAGTAAAAAGGTTTTTACTCTTTCTGTGTTTAATATTTCTTCTGATACCAAATTGTCATTATCTACCACTTCCTATATATGACCAACTCTATCTGTCATATCTAAAATAGAATTAAGTATATAATCTATATTATCATCATCTAAATCCATGTTGATTTCTTGGATTTCCTCATCAAGATCAAAAAAATTATTAATATCAGATAGTGTTGACATGATGTGCTATTTTAATAATAAATATATCTATAATTTTAACATTAATAGCAAAATTTTGCATGAAATATTACTTTTCTCAAAATGCAAACCAATCACAAAAAAAATGTTAATATATTTGTGAATCCTAATTATTAAGAAACAAGAATTCAGAATGAAAGTCCTTTATCATGTGACAGTAGAGTGAAAGTAGAATGTGACAGTAGAGTAAAAGCAATTTACTATTATATAAACAAAATAAAACTTGATGTATTAACTGTTTTATGATTAGAATAGACATATTAAAAAAAAAGATATCTTTATTATTGTGACAAATAAATTTTAAATATAAAAAAGCAACTGTCTAAGAAACTTTATTTAAAAGTAATTGGTCAAATAATAACATTAATTTAAGTGACAATCAAATAATTAATAATGACATCAATTTAAGTGATGCTTTAATAACAATCATACTGAAGCCACCTGATAAGTGGTGTAACAATTTTGTCCAATCAGAGATAGGAAGATTGTCGTCCAATCAGATGGTGGGGGGTAAATAAGTAAAACCGTCCACCTGAAGGTTCCCTACCAATTGCTGTACCTAACACCCTTGCTTGGATGTTCTACTTTAAACCTTCTGAACCTGTAATCTGTATTAATATCACTGGTCATCTTAGATGTATCAAATCATCATTCTCAACTTTATGACTAATTTATTCTTGATGTAAACCCTCTAGAGCCTTTTGTCCCATTTTTATAGCTAACCTAGATATCACTATGGCAAAACCTTGCTGTAAGACTGTTAAAACTTAAATATAAAAAAACATTTTTAATAAGTTGGTACACTGTAATTATGAT